TGTGGATTTGGGGTGGAGTGTTCTGTATATGTCTATTAGATCTGCTTGGTCCACATCTGCGTTCAAGTCCTAGATATCCTTGTTGACTTTCTGTCTCGTTGATCTGTCCAATATTGTCAGTGGAGTGTTAAAGTCTCCCACTATTATTGTGCGGGAGTCTAAGTCTCTTTGTAGGTCGTTAAGAACTTGCTTTTTTTTTTTTTTTGAGACGGAGTTTCACTCTTGTTACCCAGGCTGGAGTGCAATGGTGCAATCTCGGCTCACCGCAACCTCTGCCTCCTGGGTTCAAGCAATTCTCCTGCCTCAGCCTCCCAAGTAACTGGGACTACAGGCATGCAGCACCATGCCCAGCTAATTTTTTGTATTTTTAATAGAGACGGTGTTTCACCTGGTTGACCAGGATGGTCTCAACCTCTTGACCTCGTGATCCACCCGCCTCGGTCTCCCAAAGTGCTAGCATTATAGGCATGAGCCACCGAGAACTTCCTTTATGTATTTGGGTGCTCCTGCATTGGGTGCCTATATATTTAGGATAGTTAGCTCGTTTTTTTTTTGTTTTTTTGTTTTTTTTTGAGACAGAGTTTCACTGTTGTTACCCAGACTGGAGTGCAATGGCACCATCTCGGCTCACCACAACCTCCACCTCCTGGGTTCAAGCAATTCTCCTGCCTCAGCCTCCCGAGTAGCTGGGACTACAAGTGCGCACCACCATGCACAGCTAATTTCTGTATTTTTAGTAGAGACGGGGTTTCACCTTGTCGACCAGGATGGTCTCGATCTCTTGACCTCGTGATCCACCTGCCTCGGCCTCCCAAAGTGCTGGGATTATAGGCATGAGCCACCGCACCCCGGCCAATAGTTAGCTCCTCTTGTTGCATTGTTCCTTTTACCATTAGGTAATGCCCTTCTTTGTCTCTTTTGATCTTTGTTGGTTTAAAGTCTATTTTATCAGAGACTAAGATTGCTACCTCTACTTTTTTTTTTTTTAAATCTTCATTTGCTTGGTAAATCTTCCATCTCTTTGAGTCTATGTGAGTCTTTGCAGTGAGATGGGTCTCCTGAATACCGCACATTGATGGCTCTTGACTTTTTATCCAGTTTGCCAGTCGTGTCTTTTGACTGGGGCATTTAGGCCATTTACATTCAATGTTAATATTGTTATGTTTGGGGCCGGGCACGGGGGCTCACACCTATAATCCCAGCACTTTGGGAGGCCGAGTTGGGTGGATCACAAGGTCAAGAGATCGAGACCATCCTGGTCAACAAGGTCAAACCCCATCTCTACTAAAAATACAAAAATTAGCCAGGCATGGTGGCACACGCATGTAGTCCCAGTTACTTGGGAGGCTGAGGTAGGAGAATTGCTTGAACTCAGGAGGTGTAGGTTGCAGTGAGTTGAGATCGCGCCATTGCACTCAGCCTGGGTAACAAGAGTGAAATTCCATCTCAAAAAACAAAAAAATATATATATATATAGTTATGTTTGAATTTGATCTTGCCATTTTGTTACTGGCTGGTTGTTTTGCCCATTAGTTGATGCAGTTTCTTCATAGTGTCTTTACAATTTGGTATGTTTTTGCAGTGGCTAGTACTGGTTGTTCCTTTCCATGTTTAGTACTCCCTTCAGGAGCTCTTGTAAAGCAGGTCTTGTAACGATGAAATCTCTCAGCAATTGCTTGTCCGTAAAAGATTTTTATTTCTCCTTCATTTATGAAGCTGTTTGGTTGGATACGAAATTCTGGGTTGAAAGTTCTTTTCTGTTTTTGGAGACCAGAAGTTGGAAAAGTTCTTTTCTTTAAGGATGTTGACTATTGGCCCCTACTCCCTTCTAGCTTGTAGAGTTTCTGCTGAGAGATCCCCTGTGAGTCTGATGGTCTTTCTTTCGGGGGTGACTCATTCTTTCTCTCTGGCTGCCCTTAGGATTTTTTCCTTCATTTCAACCCCAGTGAATCTGATAATTATGTGCCTTGGAGTTGCTCTTCTTGAGGAATATCTTTGCGGTGTTCTCTGTATTTCCTGGATTTGAATATTGGCCTGCCTTGTTAGATTGGGGAAGTTCTCTTGGATAATAATCCTGAAGAGTATTTTCCAGCTTGGATTCATTCTCTCCATCACATTCAGTTATGCCGATCCAGCGTAGATTAGGTCTTTTCATATAATCCCATAGTTCTTGGAGGCTTTGTTCATTTTTATTTTATTTTTTAATAAAATGAAAGACGAGAGAGGAGAGAGAGAGAGAGAGACTGTTAAATTCTGGAGTGCAGTGGTATCATCCTAGCTCACTCACTGCAGGCAGTCTGGACACTCCTTGGCTCGAGATTCTTCCACCTCAGCCTCCAGATTACCTGGGACCACAGGCACGTGCCATTGTGCCCAGATCATTTTCTTTTTAAGAGACAGGGTTTCACCAAGTTGGTCAGGCTGCTCCTGAACTCCTGACCTCAGGTGATCCACCTGCCTCAGCCTCCCAATGTGCTGGGATTACAGGTGTGAGCCACTGCACCTAGCAGCTTTGTTCATTTTTTTTTTTTGAGTCTTTTTTCCCTAATCTTGCCTTCTTGTTTTATTTCATTTATTTGATCTCCAATCTCTGATATCCTTTCTTCTGATTGATCGATTCAGCTGTTGAAACTTGTGTATGCCTTGCAAAGTTCTCTTGCTATGTTTTTCAGCTCTATCAAGTTGTTTATGTTCTTCTCTAGGCTGGTTATTCTAGTTAGCATTTCACCTAACCTTTTTTCAAGGTTCTTAGTTTCTTTGCATTGGGTTAGAACATGGTCTTTTAACTCAGAGAAGTTTGTTATTACCCACCTCTGAAGCCTGCTTCCGTCAATTCATCAAACTCTTTCTTTGTCTTGTTTTGTTCCCTTGATGGTGAGGAGCTGTGATCCCTGGGAGCAAAAGAGGTGCTCTGGTCTTTGATGGAGTCATCCTTTTTGTGCTATTTTTTTCCCATCTTCATGTATTTACTTCCCTTTGATAAAGGATTTATCTCCTGCTGAGGTAGGAGAATTGCTGGAACCTAGGAGGAGGAGGTTGCAGCAAGCTGAGATCACGCCATTGCACTCCAGCCTGGGCAACAGAGCAAGACTCTGTCTCATAAACAAACAAACCACTTTAAAAAGAAAAAAAGAATACTGGGCACAGTGGCTCATACTTGTAATCCCAGCACTTTGGGAGGCTAAGGTGGGAGGATCACCTGAGGTCAGGAGTTCAAGACCAGCCTGGCCAACACAGTGGAACCCCATCTCTACTAAAAATAGAAAATTAGCTGGGGATTGTGCCTAGAGTCCCAGCTACTCAGGAGTCTGAGGCAGGAGAATCACTTGAACCCAGGAGGTGGAGGTTGCAGTGAGCCAAGATCGTGCCACTGCACTCCAGCCTTGGCGACAGAGTGAGGCTCTGTCTCAAAAAAACAAAACAAAATAAAACAAAACAAAAAAGCCTTCTCAAAAAGAAAAAAAAAATTTTTTAGACAGGGTCTCACTCTGTCACCCATGCTGGAGTATAGTGGTGTGATCAAGGCTCACCACAGGCTCTGCCTCGCAGGGTCAAGTGATCCTCCTATCTCAGCCTCCCAAGTAGCTGGGGATACAGGTACACACTACCACACCTGGCTAATTTGTAGAGATGAGTTTTCGCTGTTGCCCAGGCTGGTCTCAAACTTCTGAGCTCAAGCAATCCATCTGCCTCAGCCTTCCAAAGTGCTGGGCCACTGCTCCCAGCAATTATTATTTTAGAGACAGGGTCTCACTGTCATCTAGTGTGCCATGCAGTGGTGAGAAAGTAGTGCACTGTAGCCTTGAACTTCTGGGCTCAAGTGATCCTCAAACTACGTGTAGATAGAACTACAGTCACACAACACCATATACAGTGATATATTTTTTTGTAGAGACAGGGTCTTGCTTTGTTGGCCAGGCTCCTCGGAGATTTAATTCTATCACTGTACACTCAGTTAAATAATTAGCTGGTGTGTCTAGCCAAAAAGTACTATCCAAAAACCCTCAGTATCTGAAAATACGTTAAGAGTGGGGAACTATTTTTTTTTTGAGACAGACTCGCTGTGTCACTCAGGCTGAAGTGCAACCTCTGCTTTCTGGGTTCACTGCAACCTCTGCCTCTGGGTTCAAGCAGTTCTCCTGCCTCAGCTTCCAGAGTACCTGGGACTACAGGCACACACCACCATGCCTAGCTAATTTTTGTATTTTTCGTGGAGAATGGGTTTTTGCCATGTTGGCCAGGCTGGTCTTGAACTCCTGGCCTCAAGTGATCTGCCCACCTTGGCCTCCCAAAGTGCTGAGATTATAGCACCTTAGCCACTGCACCTGGCCAAGAGTGGGGAACATTTAAAATGGTTATCTTGAGAAAGCTGTTTTAAATGTTAAAGTTCCTTAATTTAGCCAGTGTGGCAATCAGCTGAGGGTGCTGAATGGTGACCTATAATGAGAATGAATTTTGAACAGAATCTCATGTTAAGGCAATACAAATGAGTTTACTCTCTTTATATTTATTATCAGGAGCATTTTTTCCTAAAGATAAGGCAGGGTATCAGGCTAAGGAGATGAAAGGAAAGAAGAAAAGATTTTATAAAAGTTTAAAAAGACGGCTGGGCATGGTGGCTCACACCTGTAATCCCAGCACTTTGGGAGGCCAGGCGGGAGGACCACGAGGTCAAGAGATCGAGACCATCCTGGCCATGATGAAGCCCCGTCTCTACTAAAAATACAAAAATTAGCCAGGAGTGGTGTTACGCGCCTGTAGTCCCAGCTACTTGGGAGGCTGAGGTGAGAGAATCACTTGAACCCAGGAGGCAAAGGTGGCAGTGAGCCGTGATTGCGCCACTGCACTCCAGCCTGGTAACACAGCAAGGCCCCGTCTAAAAAAAAAAGTTTAAAAAGACAATAAAGTTTTAAAAAAAGTTCTAAAAAGAAAAAAATAAAGAGGCATGGTTATCAAAGCAGCTTCTTTTCCCATGAAGTAGGCACACCACCTATTTTTACCTTTTTTCATCTTACAATCCTACCGCCCTTTTTTTCTTCCTTCTTCCTTTACAGACTAGAAGTCTGTGGGCTGTTTTGTTTCGCATGTAGTACTTTTAAAGTATTCATTAGTGGCCAATATTTAGAAGGAAAGCTATAGAATTAAAACATAGATTTCCAGATTTTCCTGAAAAAAAAAAAAAAAATGTTTTTAAAAAGGATTTGCTTTCCTAAAATGGAAACAATCAGTGGAAGTGAGTAATGGCTGCCCCCTGGACAGGTGGGCTAGGTGCTATCCAGTTCATCAGGTTTCCAAACAAGCCAGCTTTACTCATTAATGTACCATTTGTGTTTGTCATTCCTGCTCAATAGCTTATGTCTCCTAGCCATTGGGGCCAGACGGTGCCAATCCCTTTAGGAGCTTCAGACTAAGCTGTTATGACTATGCTACCAAGCAGTCAGCCTGGTGAAGAAACAGGCTTTTCTGTGAGGCACAGGGCTTTCGGAGCTGAACAATTTCCCAGTCTGATGGAGGAGACTGACAACTACAATATTGAGTAGAGGCCTTGTACCTACCTGAATAGTTATTTATGATAAGTAAATAAAGGGAGCAACAAGGGACCAGAGAAGAAGTGAATCATTTTCACCTTGCCTTACTGACCTCAAGGGCCTAGAGAAGAGTCTAACCTAGACTTCCAGAGTAAGCTGAAGCCCAAAGGGTAAACAGTAATATTAACACAAATGGTTAAGTTTCAGCCAGAGGGAGTTAAACATGTAAGGTGGGTGGCAGGGAAGAAACACAGTGCAGATACCTGGAGCAGAGAGTGACAAGAAACAAATAGGGGAAGATGAAGACTAAGATATAAGCGAGGTTCAATTTATGTCGTCTGAACTTTATCTTAGGGACAATGGGGAGGCCCTGTGATATCATAAGTAAGAGTAAGTTCACTGGGATTCTGAAGTGCTTTGTTCAAGTTACACAATTAGGAACCAAACCAAAAAATGAACTACTAATTTTTAAAATTAACAAATTCCTAATCAGTATACTATTACTTCCCCGCTGTCCCATGTTTACCGCTGACCCGCCAATTCAAGGGACACGCCACATGTTTCCTAATCCACCACCCGCCCTGCGGAAATGGCCTCAGCGCTTCAACCGGAAGCAGAAACTGACCGCAGCAGGGGCCACCTAACAGGCGTCTGGAGCAAAGCTCCGCCCGGAAAGTTCGCAACACCGGAAAAGGTCCGGCTGTTTCCGTTGAAAACCCAACGGAGCTAACGTTCAGAGGGCGAGTCTCCAAGATCCGGCCAGTTTGCCCAGCGCGCTCTGCTCTGCGACGACGCAAGCCCGTTTTTGCGCAGGCGCAGGGAATGCGCAAGCAAGCGCGTACGCAAAAGCGTGCGCGCGCCCGTTCAACGTCCGGAGCATCGGTGCAATTTCGAGGGTAAAGCCTTTGGCGCTGTAATGTGGACTTTTGTTTTGTAACTACAACTCCCAGCATACCTCACCCATCACGTGGGCGCTAGGTGTGGTTTCGTAGGATAGGGTAAGACGAAAGTGAAATGACGATGACGTACCAAAGAAGAAAATAATTGAATATGTTGTGTGAGCGGGTGGCTCACAGAAGCCCCAGTGGCCTAATGGATAAGGCATTGGCCTCCTAAGCCAGGGATTGTGGGTTCGAGTCCCATCTGGGGTGGGCTGTAATTTTTTTTTTTTTTTTTGGCCTTCAGAACACTTTTTTCCTTTTCTAAACAAAGCGAAGTATGCCAACTTTATTATTACTTTTTTAACGGGAAAGGTGTATGTGTGTTTGTGTTTTTACTAGCTGGTGGGCTGCAATTTTCCAGAATCAGCACACTCCCATGTCCTTTCCGTGAGCCGCAGGTCCCCTGGGATTTGGGGAGAAGTCTGTCAATACGTTGAATTTTGATATCCCTTTTAGAAATTATTTAAAAATATCTTCTCAGCGTGTTCCATATCAAATCCACACCCACTCCTCCAAGCCGGGCCCACTTCTCCTGAGACTCGGCGGTTGGTGTGCTTAGGGGCATCTTCAATGACGCCCCGAAGAAAGGCCCCTATTTCTCCAAACCCTTTTTCAGGGTTGGAGGACCTGGTACCGACAGTTAACGCTCGGCTTTGGTTTGCTTTTCTTGTTAGGGGGCAATTCGGCCTTCGGTTAATGTGCAATGGACAAGTGAGCCGTTCCACTGCTCCTAAGTCGATAGGGGGAGCCGGTAGTCGGTCCGACCGTACCATTAGGCGCCCAGTCTGGAGGATAGGTTTTGCAGGGTCGTAGGACGCCGTCGGTCACCAGGCTCGGAGAAGGACAGGAAAATGGCGGCATTAGGGTCTCCGGCGCGCACTCTGCGGGGACTTCTGCGGGAGTTGCGCTACCTGAGCGCGGCTACCGGCCGACCGTATCGCGACACCGCGGCCTATCGGTACCTTGTGAAGGCTTTCCGTGCACATCGGGTACGGGAGCCTTGTCCCGGGTGCTCCATCTGCTGGAGAGGGAGGGAGAGTCGGGTCTGGGCCGGGGTAGGGAGCACGAGGTCTAATTCCTGCCTTTCTGAGGCCAACCCTTCCACGGAGCCCTCATTCCGACCAAACCAATCCCAGGCCGAGGCTCCATGCTCTGGCGTAAACGCAGGAACTAAAGCACCGGTGGGGGCTCAGAGTCGCTCTGGGGACGTCCGGGTCCTCCAGGGGGGCGGACCCATCCCGAAGGATTTCATTGGCTGGTCTGTTGCCTGTGCGGAGGGGAAAGTCAAGGAAGTGGAATGGAGAAAATACAGGGGGTAAAACAATGTAGATAGACTTGAAGGGTGTACTGTCACTAGTCTTAAAGCCACAGCATCTGGCCAACAATCTCCTCAGCCTTTCCCTAGAAAAATTATTCTGAGAGGTTTTTTTTTTTTAGGCGGAAAAGAAAAACTGGGCTTCAGGGAAGGAAACTTGCTGCCCTTGAGCAATGTGGGAAAAGGGAGAATCATCTTCTTCACTGTCGAATTTCTGAGCCAGGGATGTCAGAATGCAAAACTAAAATTCTGGTTTTTGAAAGGTGACAACTTTCGGGACTGTGCTAGGAATCTGGTCTAAATAGGAAAAATCAGATGCTTATGGACCTTGTTCTTTAAGAGGCTTGATGCTCACCTTAGGAGCGATACAGTAAAGCATTTAGAATAAATAAGTGCTCAACGTGTAGACAACAGGTGCTGGAATATAAAGAAGAGGTTCGGGAAGGTTTTCTGGAGGAAATTAATCAGGGATCTGAAGGCTAATTTGCAGTTAGCAAGTAAATTGGGGTTAGGGTCCAGGTTTAAAAACTGCACAATTGAGGCCGGGCGCGGTGGCTCAAGCCTGTAATCCCAGCACTTTGGGAGGCCGAGGCGGGTGAATCACGAGGTCAAGAGATCGAGACCATCCTGGTCAACATGGTGAAACCCCGTCTCTACTAAAAATACAAAAAATTAGCTGGGCATGGTGGTGTGTGCCTGTAATCCCAGCTACTCGGGAGGCTGAGGCAGGAGAATTGGCTGAAGCCAGGAGGCGGAGGTTGCGGTGAGCCGAGATCCCGCCATTGCACTCCAGCCTGGGTAACAAGAGGGAAACTCTGTCTCAAAAAAAAAACTGCACAATTGAAAGTCCAGAGGGGAGAAAAATTGCCAGTTGAGAATGATTTAGCTCTTAGGGTGTGGTGGGGGAAGTGGAGGTAGATGAGGTGGTAGGCAGAACAGGAATTTAAACTTTAGTGTAAGTGTAATGGGAAGGCATTCCAAGACTTTTAAGGAGGTAACATGATTATAATTATATCTTATGGAGACAACATTATTACCCTTGAGAGAGACTTGGCTATGGTTCTGAAATTCATGGTACATTCTGGAAACACCACTCTGGAATGCATTTAAGCATAGGGGAAATGGTTTATATTTCTTTAAGGCTCAGAGCTAACTCAACCATCCCATTTTCTCTATCCCTTCCCTTGGGAGAAGGGATTCTATTAGGGAGAAACCTCCCCTTTCTCCACAGGGAAAATGCAGTATTCTATTTCACTTGATCTCTTTTGGTTTCTCGTGATCTATTTATTGTTTCCTATTACTGACCCTTCTGTCCTCATGATTCAGGCTCAACTGAATCAAGGTCAGTATTCTATCCTATATTAATATAGGATATTAATTCCTATGTCAAATTCCACAAATTTGGGCTTGTATAATATTAATAGAAATGGATGCTACAATTTGTTAATGCTTGACATTGGTGTTGGTTTCTCATAAAACTTAAATTACTAAAAAATTTGTATTAAAGCAGATTCATTGTTTTTAAGCAGCTAATGAATGTTGCTTTCAACATGATCTGCAGATCCGAAAACCCACATTCACCAACATGGGCAACATAGTGTAGTGAGACCTCCTCTCTACAAAAATTTAAAAGTTAGCCAGGCATGGTGGCCCATCCTCTAGTTCCAGCTAATTGGGAGGCTGAGATGAGAGGATTACTTGAGCCCAGGAAGTCAAGGTTGCAGTGATCCATGTTCATACCACTGCTCTCCAGCCTAGGCTATGGAGCGAGACCCTGTCTCAAAAACCAAGAAGCCACACACATTCTAGTTTTCAGATTCTAACACTAGATATTCAAATAGAGAAAGGGGATTGGGCCAGGGGCAGTGGCTCATGCCTGTCCCAGCACTCTAGGAGGAGGCAGCGGGTGGATTGCTTGTGCCCAGGAGTTCAAGGTCAGCCTGGGCAACATGGTGAAACCCTGTCTCTATAAAAAATACAAAAATTAGCTGGATCTGGTGGCCTGCAACAGTAGTCCCAGCTACTTGCTGGTCTGAGGCAGGAGAGTCACTTGAGCTGGGGAGGTCGACAGCCATGTTCACGTCATTGCACTCCAGCCTGGGCAACAAAGTGAGACTCTGTCTCAAAAAAAAAAAATAAAAAATTGAGGGGGATTATGTTGGCAGTGGTGCCCAGATTAATCCATACTTGGGCATGGCTCCTGTTGTCACTCAGAGCTATGCACACCCCCATCTCACCTTTCCTGCCCCTTTCTCACAGCCTTGAACTAGTCAAAGAGGGTACACTGACTTAATCTCAAAAGTTACGTATGATGAAGGAAAAACAAGGTTTGGAGTCATTTGGGGACTTTGGAATGGATATGGAGTTTCAGCTTCTTAAAGTCATTTGAGTCCAGATTTTTCAGATGGATAAGTAAATTGTGAGAGCAAGAACAGCCATTCCTCAGTAAGTGGGATAGGTTCCAGGATACCCCTCAACCACACTCAAGGATACCAAATCCATGGATGCTCAAGTCCCTAACATAAAATGCTATAGTATTTTGCAATGCACATCCTTCTGTATACTTTAAGTCATCTCTAGATTATAATACCTAATGCAATGTAAATGCTATATAAATAGTTGTTATACTACATTGTTTAGGGAATAATGACAAAACATGTTTGGTAAGACACGATTATCCTTTTATTTTTTTCTGAATATTTTTTATCAGAATTGGTTGAATCCAAAGATGCAAAACCCATGAATCTGGAGGGCCAACTGTAGTAAGTAATATAAACATAAGCATATTATATATATATATATGGGCTTCATTTGTTACTATTTAGTACGAAGTTATTTTTCAGACAAAATAAGGTTTCAATTTTCATTGTAATGAAAGGTATATGCCACATTAACCAAAGTCATAGAAACATAAATAAAGCAGTCCTTTATTTGCTTGAAAGGGAGAAAGTTCTACATTATATTCCTTTTTTTGGGGTGGGGATGGAGTCTTGCTCTGTCGCCAGGCTGGAGTGCAGTGGCACAATCTCAGCTCACTGCAACCTCCACCTTCCGGGTTCAAGGGATTCTCCTGCCTCAGCCTCCTGAATAGCTAGGATTACAGGCACATGCCACCATGACCAGCTAATTTTTGTATTTTTATTAGAGATGGGGTTTCACCATGTTGGTCAGGCTGGTCTCAAATTCCTGACCTTGTGAGTCATCCACCTTGGCCTCCCAAAGTGCTGGGATTACAGGCGTGAGCCACCGTGCCCAGCCTCATTATATTCTTTAGGTGCCATTAATGATCAGTGACCTGATTATAATTTTCATATCTACCATTAACTAATCTCTGAGCATCTCTAGGCTTTAGTTTCCTCACGTGTAAAATGAAGGAATTGAAACTAGATGACTTCTTGCAGTACTCACTGAATACAGCAACATTCAACGTAACTCCTTTTTAAAATCAGAACTAGAGGTCAGCTTTACTAATAATCATAGCGTGCCTCTGTAGATGTATTAAGTATACATGTATATACAAACATGTTTGTATTTCCTCTGTGCAATTTACTTTCATTCTAGAGAATGCTTGTTCATTAAATTTTTCTCAGTGGACTTCTATCTGTAGCTGGGTTAAGAGCTTCTGACTTGCTGCTTCTCTAGGTCACCAGTGAAAAGTTGTGCAGAGCCCAACATGAGCTTCATTTCCAAGCTGCCACCTATCTCTGCCTCTTGCGCAGCATCCGGGAACATGTGGCCCTACATCAGGAATTTCATGGCAAGGGTGAGCGCTCAGTGGAGGAGTCTGCTGGCTTGGTGGGCCTCCAATTGCCGCATCAGCCTGGAGGGAAGGGCTGGGAGCCATGAACATGGAGAATATCCTCGGATGCTGCATTCATAAGAAAATTTAA